ACCTACTGAGGACCTGCTGAGGACCTGCTGAGGGCCTGCTGAGGACCTGATGAGGACCTACTGAGGACCTGCTGAGGACCTACTGAGGACCTGCTGAGGACCTACTGAGGACCTGCTGAGGACCTACTGAGGACCTCCTGAGGACCTACTGAGGACCTGCTGAGGACCTACTGAGGACCTGCTGAGGACCTACTGAGGACCTGCTGAGGACCTACTGAGGACCTACTGAGGACCTCCTGAGGACCTGCTGAGGACCTACTGAGGACCTGCTGAGGACCTACTGAGGACCTACTGAGGACCTGCTGAGGACCTACTGAGGACCTCCTGAGGACCTACTGAGGACCTGCTGAGGACCTGCTGAGGACCTGCTGAGGACCTACTGAGGACCTACTGAGGACCTACTGAGGACCTGCTGAGGTGTGTTTGCTATCGTCACATTTCTTGTGTTTGAACTGATTCTCTGATCTCTGATCACGCGTCACTGACCTGAGCTAACACGCGTCACTGACCTGAGCTAACACGTGTCACTGACCTGAGCTAACACGTGTCACTGACCTGAGCTAACACGTGTCACTGACCTGAGCTAACACGTGTCACTGACCTGAGCTAACACGTGTCACTGACCTGAGCTAACACGCGTCACTGACCTGAGCTAACACGTGTCACTGACCTGAGCTAACACAGCTGCAGTGTCACTGACCTGAGCTAACACAGCTGCAGTGTCACTGACCTGAGCTAACACAGCTGCAGTGTCACTGACCTGAGCTAACACAGCTGCAGTGTCACTGACCTGAGCTAACACAGCTGCAGTGTCACTGACCTGAGCTAACACAGCTGCAGTGTCACTGACCTGAGCTAACACAGCTGCAGTGTCACTGACCTGAGCTAACACGCGTCACTGACCTGAGCTAACACGTGTCACTGACCTGAGCTAACACGTGTCACTGATCTGAGCTAACACGCGTCACTGACCTGAGCTAACACGTGTCACTGACCTGAGCTAACACAGCTGCAGTGTCACTGACCTGAGCTAACACAGCTGCAGTGTCACTGACCTGAGCTAACACAGCTGCAGTGTCACCGACCTGAGCTAACACAGCTGCAGTGTCACTGACCTGAGCTAACACAGCTGCAGTGTCACTGACCTGAGCTAACACAGCTGCAGTGTCACTGACCTGAGCTAACACAGCTGCAGTGTCACTGACCTGAGCTAACACGCGTCACTGACCTGAGCTAACACGTGTCACTGACCTGAGCTAACACGTGTCACTGACCTGAGCTAACACGCGTTACTGACCTGAGCTAACACGTGTCACTGACCTGAGCTAACACGCGTCACTGACCTGAGCTAACACGCGTCACTGACCTGAGCTAACACGTGTCACTGACCTGAGCTAACACGTGTCACTGACCTGAGCTAACACGTGTCACTGACCTGAGCTAACACGTGTCACTGACCTGAGCTAACACGTGTCACTGACCTGAGCTAACACGCGTCACTGACTTGAGCTAACACGCGTCACTGACCTGAGCTAACACGCGTCACTGACCTGAGCTAACACAGCTGCAGTGTCACTGACCTGAGCTAACACAGCTGCAGTGTCACTGACTTGAGCTAACACAGCTGCAGTGTCACCGACCTGAGCTAACACAGCTGCAGTGTCACCGACCTGAGCTAACACAGCTGCAGTGTCACTGACCTGAGCTAACACAGCTGCAGTGTCACTGACCTGAGCTAACACAGCTGCAGTGTCACTGACCTGAGCTAACACAGCTGCAGTGTCACTGACCTGAGCTAACACAGCTGCAGTGTCACTGACCTGAGCTAACACAGCTGCAGTGTCACTGACCTGAGCTAACACAGCTGCAGTGTCACTGACCTGAGCTAACACAGCTGCAGTGTCACTGACCTGAGCTAACACAGCTGCAGTGTCACTGACCTGAGCTAACACAGCTGCAGTGTCACCGACCTGAGCTAACACAGCTGCAGTGTCACCGACCTGAGCTAACACAGCTGCAGTGTCACCGACCTGAGCTAACACAGCTGCAGTGTCACCGACCTGAGCTAACACAGCTGCAGTGTCACCGACCTGAGCTAACACAGCTGCAGTGTCACCGACCTGAGCTAACACAGCTGCAGTGTCACCGACCTGAGCTAACACAGCTGCAGTGTCACCGACCTGAGCTAACACAGCTGCAGTGTCACCGACCTGAGCTAACACAGCTGCAGTGTCACCGACCTGAGCTAACACAGCTGCAGTGTCACTGACCTGAGCTAACACAGCTGCAGTGTCACTGACCTGAGCTAACACAGCTGCAGTGTCACTGACCTGAGCTAACACAGCTGCAGTGTCACTGACCTGAGCTAACACAGCTGCAGTGTCACTGACCTGAGCTAACACAGCTGCAGTGTCACTGACCTGAGCTAACACAGCTGCAGTGTCACTGACCTGAGCTAACACAGCTGCAGTGTCACCGACCTGAGCTAACACAGCTGCAGTGTCACCCGACCTGAGCTAACACAGCTGCAGTGTCACTGACCTGAGCTAACACAGCTGCAGTGTCACTGACCTGAGCTAACACAGCTGCAGTGTCACTGACCTGAGCTAACACAGCTGCAGTGTCACTGACCTGAGCTAACACAGCTGCAGTGTCACTGACCTGAGCTAACACAGCTGCAGTGTCACTGACCTGAGCTAACACAGCTGCAGTGTCACTGACCTGAGCTAACACAGCTGCAGTGTCACTGACCTGAGCTAACACAGCTGCAGTGTCACTGACCTGAGCTAACACAGCTGCAGTGTCACTGACCTGAGCTAACACAGCTGCAGTGTCACTGACCTGAGCTAACACAGCTGCAGTGTCACTGACCTGAGCTAACACAGCTGCAGTGTCACTGACCTGAGCTAACACAGCTGCAGTGTCACTGACCTGAGCTAACACAGCTGCAGTGTCACTGACCTGAGCTAACACAGCTGCAGTGTCACTGACCTGAGCTAACACACCTGCAGTGTCACTGACCTGAGCTAACACAGCTGCAGTGTCACTGACCTGAGCTAACACAGCTGCAGTGTCACTGACCTGAGCTAACACAGCTGCAGTGTCACTGACCTGAGCTAACACAGCTGCAGTGTCACTGACCTGAGCTAACACAGCTGCAGTGTCACTGACCTGAGCTAACACAGCTGCAGTGTCACTGACTTGAGCTAACACAGCTGCAGTGTCACTGACCTGAGCTAACACAGCTGCAGTGTCACCGACCTGAGCTAACACAGCTGCAGTGTCACCGACCTGAGCTAACACAGCTGCAGTGTCACTGACCTGAGCTAACACAGCTGCAGTGTCACTGACCTGAGCTAACACGCGTCACTGACTTGAGCTAACACAGCTGCAGTGTCACTGACCTGAGCTAACACAGCTGCAGTGTCACTGACCTGAGCTAACACAGCTGCAGTGTCACTGACCTGAGCTAACACAGCTGCAGTGTCACCGACCTGAGCTAACACAGCTGCAGTGTCACTGACCTGAGCTAACACAGCTGCAGTGTCACTGACCTGAGCTAACACAGCTGCAGTGTCACTGACCTGAGCTAACACAGCTGCAGTGTCACTGACCTGAGCTAACACAGCTGCAGTGTCACTGACCTGAGCTAACACAGCTGCAGTGTCACTGACCTGAGCTAACACAGCTGCAGTGTCACTGACCTGAGCTAACACAGCTGCAGTGTCACTGACCTGAGCTAACACAGCTGCAGTGTCACTGACCTGAGCTAACACAGCTGCAGTGTCACTGACCTGAGCTAACACAGCTGCAGTGTCACTGACCTGAGCTAACACGCGTCACTGACTTGAGCTAACACGCGTCACTGACCTGAGCTAACACAGCTGCAGTGTCACTGACCTGAGCTAACACAGCTGCAGTGTCACTGACCTGAGCTAACACAGCTGCAGTGTCACTGACCTGAGCTAACACAGCTGCAGTGTCACTGACCTGAGCTAACACAGCTGCAGTGTCACTGACCTGAGCTAACACAGCTGCAGTGTCACTGACCTGAGCTAACACAGCTGCAGTGTCACTGACCTGAGCTAACACAGCTGCAGTGTCACTGACCTGAGCTAACACAGCTGCAGTGTCACTGACCTGAGCTAACACAGCTGCAGTGTCACTGACCTGAGCTAACACAGCTGCAGTGTCACTGACCTGAGCTAACACAGCTGCAGTGTCACTGACCTGAGCTAACACAGCTGCAGTGTCACCGACCTGAGCTAACACAGCTGCAGTGTCACTGACCTGAGCTAACACAGCTGCAGTGTCACTGACCTGAGCTAACACAGCTGCAGTGTCACTGACCTGAGCTAACACAGCTGCAGTGTCACTGACCTGAGCTAACACAGCTGCAGTGTCACTGACCTGAGCTAACACAGCTGCAGTGTCACTGACCTGAGCTAACACAGCTGCAGTGTCACTGACCTGAGCTAACACAGCTGCAGTGTCACTGACCTGAGCTAACACAGCTGCAGTGTCACTGACCTGAGCTAACACAGCTGCAGTGTCACTGACCTGAGCTAACACAGCTGCAGTGTCACTGACCTGAGCTAACACAGCTGCAGTGTCACTGACCTGAGCTAACACAGCTGCAGTGTCACTGACCTGAGCTAACACAGCTGCAGTGTCACTGACCTGAGCTAACACAGCTGCAGTGTCACTGACCTGAGCTAACACAGCTGCAGTGTCACTGACCTGAGCTAACACAGCTGCAGTGTCACTGACCTGAGCTAACACAGCTGCAGTGTCACTGACCTGAGCTAACACAGCTGCAGTGTCACTGACCTGAGCTAACACAGCTGCAGTGTCACTGACCTGAGCTAACACAGCTGCAGTGTCACTGACCTGAGCTAACACAGCTGCAGTGTCACTGACCTGAGCTAACACAGCTGCAGTGTCACTGACCTGAGCTAACACAGTCACTGACAGTGTCACTGACCTGAGCTAACACAGCTGCAGTGTCACTGACCTGAGCTAACACAGCTGCAGTGTCACTGACCTGAGCTAACACAGCTGCAGTGTCACTGACCTGAGCTAACACAGCTGCAGTGTCACTGACCTGAGCTAACACAGCTGCAGTGTCACTGACCTGAGCTAACACAGCTGCAGTGTCACTGACCTGAGCTAACACAGCTGCAGTGTCACTGACCTGAGCTAACACAGCTGCAGTGTCACTGACCTGAGCTAACACAGCTGCAGTGTCACTGACCTGAGCTAACACGCGTCACTGACTTGAGCTAACACGTGTCACTGACCTGAGCTAACACAGCTGCAGTGTCACTGACCTGAGCTAACACAGCTGCAGTGTCACTGACCTGAGCTAACACAGCTGCAGTGTCACTGACCTGAGCTAACACAGCTGCAGTGTCACTGACCTGAGCTAACACAGCTGCAGTGTCACTGACCTGAGCTAACACAGCTGCAGTGTCACTGACCTGAGCTAACACAGCTGCAGTGTCACTGACCTGAGCTAACACAGCTGCAGTGTCACTGACCTGAGCTAACACAGCTGCAGTGTCACTGACCTGAGCTAACACAGCTGCAGTGTCACCGACCTGAGCTAACACAGCTGCAGTGTCACTGACCTGAGCTAACACAGCTGCAGTGTCACTGACCTGAGCTAACACAGCTGCAGTGTCACTGACCTGAGCTAACACAGCTGCAGTGTCACTGACCTGAGCTAACACAGCTGCAGTGTCACTGACCTGAGCTAACACAGCTGCAGTGTCACTGACCTGAGCTAACACAGCTGCAGTGTCACTGACCTGAGCTAACACAGCTGCAGTGTCACCGACCTGAGCTAACACAGCTGCAGTGTCACCGACCTGAGCTAACACAGCTGCAGTGTCACTGACCTGAGCTAACACAGCTGCAGTGTCACTGACCTGAGCTAACACAGCTGCAGTGTCACTGACCTGAGCTAACACAGCTGCAGTGTCACTGACCTGAGCTAACACAGCTGCAGTGTCACTGACCTGAGCTAACACGCGTCACTGACTTGAGCTAACACAGCTGCAGTGTCACTGACCTGAGCTAACACAGCTGCAGTGTCACTGACTTGAGCTAACACAGCTGCAGTGTCACTGACCTGAGCTAACACAGCTGCAGTGTCACTGACCTGAGCTAACACAGCTGCAGTGTCACTGACCTGAGCTAACACAGCTGCAGTGTCACCGACCTGAGCTAACACAGCTGCAGTGTCACTGACCTGAGCTAACACAGCTGCAGTGTCACTGACCTGAGCTAACACAGCTGCAGTGTCACTGACCTGAGCTAACACAGCTGCAGTGTCACTGACCTGAGCTAACACAGCTGCAGTGTCACTGACCTGAGCTAACACAGCTGCAGTGTCACTGACCTGAGCTAACACAGCTGCAGTGTCACTGACCTGAGCTAACACAGCTGCAGTGTCACTGACCTGAGCTAAGAAGAGGTTCAGGGCAAAGACATGAGGGAGTCTGTTGAACTTCCTGCTCAGCAGCATCACAGCGATGGTCCACACCTGCAACACATGTTTACTATTTATCCATCTATCTATAGTGAGGTAGGGTCTCTCTCACAGAGGTAGGGTCTCTCACACAGAGGCAGTCTCTCTCTCACAGAGGTAGAGTCTCTCTCACACAGAGGTAGTCTCTCTCACAGAGGTAGAGTCTCTCTCACACAGAGGTAGAGTCTCTCTCACACAGAGGTAGTCTCTCTCACACAGAGGTAGTCTCTCTCTCACAGAGGTAGTCTCTCTCACACAGAGGCAGTCTCTCTCTCACAGAGGTAGTGTCTCTCACACAGAGGTAGAGTCTCTCTCACAGGTGTAGTCTCTCTCACACAGAGGCAGTCTCTCTCACAGAGGTAGAGTCTCTCTCACAGGTGTAGTCTCTCTCACACAGAGGCAGTCTCTCTCACACAGAGGCAGTCTCTCTCTCACAGAGGTAGTGTCTCTCACACAGAGGTAGTCTCTCTCACACAGAGGTAGTGTCTCTCACACAGAGGTAGTCTCTCTCACACAGAGGTAGTCTCTCTCACACAGAGGTAGTCTCTCTCACACAGAGGTAGTGTCTCTCACACACAGAGGTAGTGTCTCTCACACAGAGGTAGTCTCTCTCACACAGAGGTAGTGTCTCTCACACAGAGGTAGTCTCTCTCACACAGAGGTAGTGTCTCTCACACAGAGGTAGTGTCTCTCACACAGAGGTAGTCTCTCTCACACAGAGGTAGTGTCTCTCACACACAGAGGTAGTGTCTCTCACACACAGAGGTAGTCTCTCTCACACAGAGGTAGTGTCTCTCACACAGAGGTAGTCTCTCTCACACAGAGGTAGTGTCTCTCACACAGAGGTAGAGTCTCTCACACAGAGGTAGTCTCTCTCACACAGAGGTAGTGTCTCTCACACACAGAGGTAGTGTCTCTCACACACAGAGGTAGTGTCTCTCACACAGAGGTAGAGTCTCTCACACAGAGGTAGAGTCTCTCTCACACAGAGGTGTAGTCTCTCTCACACAGAGGTAGTCTCTCTCACACAGAGGCAGTCTCTCTCACACAGAGGCAGTCTCTCTCACACAGAGGTAGTGTCTCTCACACACAGAGGTAGTGTCTCTCACACAGAGGTAGAGTCTCTCACACAGAGGTAGAGTCTCTCACACAGAGGTAGAGTCTCTCTCACACAGAGGTGTAGTCTCTCTCACACAGAGGCAGTCTCTCTCACACAGAGGTAGTGTCTCTCACACAGAGGTAGTCTCTCTCACACAGAGGTAGTCTCTCTCACACAGAGGTAGAGTCTCTCACACAGAGGTAGTGTCTCTCACACAGAGGTAGTGTTTCTCACACAGAGGTAGTCTCTCTCACACAGAGGTAGTCTCTCTCACACAGAGGTAGTCTCTCTCACACAGAGGTAGTCTCTCTCACACAGAGGTAGTGTCTCTCACACAGAGGTAGTCTCTCTCACACAGAGGTAGTCTCTCTCACACAGAGGTGTAGTCTCTCTCACACAGAGGTAGTGTCTCTCACACAGAGGTAGTCTCTCTCACACAGAGGTAGTCTCTCTCACACAGAGGTGTAGTCTCTCTCACACAGAGGTAGTGTTTCTCACACAGAGGTAGTCTCTCTCACACAGAGGTAGTCTCTCTCACACAGAGGTAGTCTCTCTCACACAGAGGTGTAGTCTCTCTCACACAGAGGTAGTGTTTCTCACACAGAGGTAGTCTCTCTCACACAGAGGTAGTCTCTCTCACACAGAGGTAGTCTCTCTCACACAGAGGTGTAGTCTCTCTCACACAGAGGTAGTCTCTCTCACACAGAGGTAGTCTCTCTCACACAGAGGTGTAGTTCTCTCTCACACAGAGGTAGTCTCTCTCACACAGAGGTAGTCTCTCTCACACAGAGGTAGTGTCTCTCACACAGAGGTAGTGTCTCTCACACAGAGGTAGTGTTTCTCACACAGAGGTAGTCTCTCTCACACAGAGGTAGTCTCTCTCACACAGAGGTAGTCTCTCTCACACAGAGGTAGTCTCTCTCACACAGAGGTAGTCTCTCTCACACAGAGGTAGTGTCTCTCACACAGAGGTAGTGTTTCACACAGAGGTAGTCTCTCTCACACAGAGGTAGTGTCTCTCACACAGAGGTAGTCTCTCTCACACAGAGGTAGTGTCTCTCACACAGAGGTAGTTCTCTCACACAGAGGTAGTCTCTCTCACACAGAGGTAGTGTCTCTCACACACAGAGGTAGTGTCTCTCACACAGAGGTAGTCTCTCTCACACAGAGGTAGTGTCTCTCACACAGAGGTAGTCTCTCTCACACAGAGGTAGTGTCTCTCACACAGAGGTAGTCTCTCTCACACAGAGGTAGTCTCTCTCACACAGAGGTGTGTCTCTCCACACAGAGGTAGTGTCTCTCTCACACAGAGGTAGTCTCTCTCACACAGAGGTAGTCTCTCTCACACAGAGGTGTAGTCTCTCTCACACAGAGGTAGTGTCTCTCACACAGAGGTAGTCTCTCTCACACAGAGGTAGTCTCTCTCACACAGAGGTAGTCTCTCTCACACAGAGGTGTAGTCTCTCTCACACAGAGGTAGTGTCTCTCACACAGAGGTAGTCTCTCTCACACAGAGGTAGTCTCTCTCACACAGAGGTAGTCTCTCTCACACAGAGGTGTAGTCTCTCTCACACAGAGGTAGTCTCTCTCACACAGAGGTAGTCTCTCTCACACAGAGGTAGTCTCTCTCACACAGAGGTAGTGTCTCTCACACAGAGGTAGTCTCTCTCACACAGAGGCAGTCTCTCTCACAGAGGTAGAGTCTCTCTCACAGGTGTAGTCTCTCCACACAGAGGTAGTCTCTCTCACACAGAGGTAGTCTCTCTCACACAGAGGGTAGTCTCTCTCACACAGAGGTAGTCTCTCTCACACAGAGGTAGTCTCTCTCACACAGAGGTAGTCTCTCTCACACAGAGGTAGTGTCTCTCACACAGAGGTAGTCTCTCTCACACAGAGGTAGTCTCTCTCACACAGAGGTAGTCTCTCTCACACAGAGGTAGTGTCTCTCACACAGAGGTAGTGTCTCTCTCACACAGAGGTAGTTCTCTCACACAGAGGTAGTTCTCTCACACAGAGGTAGTCTCTCACACAGAGGTAGTGTCTCTCACACAGAGGTAGTCTCTCTCACACAGAGGTAGTCTCTCTCACACAGAGGTAGTCTCTCTCACACAGAGGTAGTCTCTCTCACACAGAGGTAGTCTCTCTCACACAGAGGTAGTCTCTCTCACACAGAGGTAGTCTCTCTCACACAGAGGTAGTCTCTCTCACACAGAGGTAGTCTCTCTCACACAGAGGTAGTCTCTCTCACACAGAGGTAGTCTCTCTCACACAGAGGTGTAGTCTCTCTCACACAGAGGTAGTCTCTCTCACACAGAGGTAGTCTCTCTCACACAGAGGTAGTCTCTCTCACACAGAGGTAGTCTCTCTCACACAGAGGTAGTCTCTCTCACACAGAGGTAGTCTCTCTCACACAGAGGTAGTCTCTCTCACACAGAGGTAGTCTCTCTCACACAGAGGTAGTCTCTCTCACACAGAGGTAGTGTCTCTCACACAGAGGTAGTGTCTCTCTCACACAGAGGTAGTTCTCTCACACACAGAGGTAGTGTCTCTCACACAGAGGTAGTCTCTCACACAGAGGTAGTCTCTCTCACACAAGAGGTAGTGTCTCTCACAGAGTAGTTCACACAGAGTAGTGTCTCTCCACACAGAGGTAGTCTCTCTCACACAGAGGTAGTGTTTCTCACACACAGAGGTAGTCTCTCCACACAGAGGTAGTCTCTCTCACACAGAGGTAGTGTTTCTCACACAGAGGTAGTGTCTCTCACACACAGAGTAGTCTCTCTCACACAGAGGTAGTGTTTCTCACACAGAGGTAGTCTCCTCTCTCCACAGAGGTAGTCTCTCTCACACAGAGGTAGTCTCTCTCACACAGAGGTAGTGTCTCTCACACAGAGGTAGTCTCTCTCACACAGAGGTAGTCTCTCTCACACAGAGGTAGTCTCTCTCACACAGAGGTAGTCTCTCTCACACAGAGGTAGTCTCTCTCACACAGAGGTAGTCTCTCTCACACAGAGGTAGTCTCTCTCACACAGAGGTAGTCTCTCTCACACAGAGGTAGTCTCTCTCACACAGAGGTAGTCTCTCTCACACAGAGGTAGTCTCTCTCACACAGAGGTAGTCTCTCTCACACAGAGGTAGTTCTCTCACCACAGAGGTAGTCTCTCTCACACAGAGGTAGTCTCTCTCACACAGAGGTAGTCTCTCTCACACAGAGGTAGTCTCTCTCACACAGAGGTAGTGTCTCTCACACAGAGGTAGTCTCTCTCACACAGAGGTAGTCTCTCTCACACAGAGGTAGTCTCTCTCACACAGAGGTGTAGTCTCTCTCACACAGAGGTGTAGTCTCTCTCACACAGAGGTAGTGTTTCTCACACAGAGGTAGTCTCTCTCACACAGAGGTAGTGTTTCTCACACAGAGGTAGAGTCTCTCTCACACAGAGGTAGTCTCTCTCACACAGAGGTAGTGTTTCTCACACAGAGGTAGTCTCTCTCACACAGAGGTAGTCTCTCTCACACAGAGGTAGTTCTCACACAGGTAGTTTCTCACACAGAGGTAGTCTCTCACACAGAGGTAGTCTCTCTCACACAGAGTGAGTGTTTCTCACACAGAGGTAGAGTCTCTCACACATAGGTAGTCTCTCTCACACAGAGGTAGTGTTTCTCACACACAGAGGTAGTTTTCTCACACAGAGGTAGTCTCTCTCACACAGAGGTAGTCTCTCTCACACAGAGGTAGTCTCTCTCACACAGAGGTAGTCTCTCTCACACAGAGGTAGTGTCTCTCACACAGAGGTAGTCTCTCTCACACAGAGGTAGTCTCTCTCACACAGAGGTAGTCTCTCTCACACAGAGGTAGTCTCTCTCACACAGAGGTAGTCTCTCTCACACAGAGGTAGTCTCTCTCACACAGAGGTAGTCTCTCTCACACAGAGGTAGTGTCTCTCACACAGAGGTAGTCTCTCTCACACAGAGGTAGTGTTTCTCACACAGAGGTAGAGTCTCTCACACAGAGGTAGTGTTTCTCACACAGAGGTAGTCTCTCTCACACAGAGGTAGTGTTTCTCACACAGAGGTAGTCTCTCTCACACAGAGGTAGTGTTTCTCACACAGAGGTAGAGTCTCTCACACAGAGGTAGTCTCTCTCACACAGAGGTAGTGTTTCTCACACAGAGGTAGTCTCTCTCACACAGAGGTAGTCTCTCTCACACAGAGGTAGTGTTTCTCACACAGAGGTAGAGTCTCTCACACAGAGGTAGTCTCTCTCACACAGAGGTAGTGTTTCTCACACAGAGGTAGTCTCTCTCACACAGAGGTAGTCTCTCTCACACAGAGGTTGTCTCTCTCACACAGAGGTAGTCTCTCACACACAGAGGTAGTGTTTCTCACACAGAGGTAGTGTTTCTCACACAGAGGTAGTGTTTCTCACACAGAGGTAGTCTCTCTCTCACAGAGGTAGTCTCTCTCACACAGAGGTTGTCTCTCTCACACAGAGGTTGTCTCTCTCACCAGAGATAGCAGACAGACCACGCTGATGTTGAAGCTGACGTTCTGCAGCTCGCTGATGAGAGGGCGGGGGTCCATGAGGGGGATGGTCAGTAACCATGACGACACATACATGATGGGAGCAGACAGGAACGTGCTGATCACCATCCCTGAGGTCACCTGTGGAACACACACACTCAGCCATGAAGCTTCAGAGGTGTGTGTGTGTGTGTGTGTGTGTGTGTGTGTGTGTGTGTGTCTATGTTTGTGTGTGTCCCTTTAGGGTGCTTGGTTAACTGTGTTTATGATATTGTATATTGTATGTACAGTATTCGATCTTTGAAAACATGTGACCTAAGATCTAGTGTTCATAATGACCAAAGAAATACATTTCTTATACAGCTGCTGTGATCTTAAACAGGTGCGACAGCAGCAGTACTTATACAGCTGCTGTGATCTTAAACAGGTGTGACAGCAGCAGTACTTATACAGCTGCTGTGATCTTAAACAGGTGTGACAGCAGCAGTACTTATACAGCTGCTGTGATCTTAAACAGGTGTGACAGCAGCAGTACTTATACAGCTGCTGTGATCTTAAACAGGTGTGACAGCAGCAGTACTTATACAGCTGCTGTGATCTTAAACAGGTGCGACAGCAGCAGTACTTATACAGCTGCTGTGATCTTAAACAGGTGCGACAGCAGCAGTACTTATACAGCTGCTGTGATCTTAAACAGGTGTGACAGCAGCAGTACTTATACAGCTGCTATGATAGCAGCTGTACCGACCACTTCCAGCTCCATGTTGTAGTGAGCGGCGTAGATGGCCACGCTGGGGGCAGTGGGGAAGACTCCGTACAGAAACGCAAAGTTGGACAAACTGGTGTGGTTCGAACTGCTGCTGTTCACGCCCACATCCAGGATCTCCACCATGTCCTTACACACCAGCGGCATCACCAGCCTAGACACACACACACACACGTCAGAGATAGAGAAACACACACACGTCAGAGAGACACACACAGAGATAGACAGAGACACACATACAAACACACCGAGACACAGACACACACGTCAGAGAGAGAAACACAGACACGTCAGAGACAGAGACACACACACACACGTCAGAGACAGAGAAACAGACACACACACACGTCAGAAACAGAGAAACACAAACACGTCAGAGAGACACAGACACACACGTCAGAGAGAGAAACACACACACGTCAGAGACAGAGAAACTCACAGTTTGGCTGTGATCAGGAGGATCAGAGCGACCCCAGTGTCACGGGTCAGTTTTCTGAGCTGCCCAACCTGGACACACAAGATGGAGGTCAGCGGGACACACAAGATGGAGGTCAGCGGGACACACAAGATGGAGGTCAGAGGGACACACAAGATGGAGGTCAGAGGGACACACAAGATGGAGGTCAGAGGGACACACAAGATGTAGGTCAGCGGGACACACAAGATGGAGGTCAGCGGGACACACAAGATGGAGGTCAGAGGGACACACACAAGATGGAGGTCAGAGGGACACACAAGATGGAGGTCAGAGGGACACACAAGATGGAGGTCAGAGGGACACACAAGATGGAGGTCAGAGGGACACACAAGATGGAGGTCAGAGGGACACACAAGATGGAGGTCAGAGGGACACACAAGATGGAGGTCAGAGGGACACACAAGATGGAGGTCAGAGGGACACACAAGATGGAGGTCAGAGGGACACACAAGATGGAGGTCAGAGGGACACACAAGATGGAGGTCAGAGGGACACACAAGATGGAGGTCAGAGGGACACACAAGATGGAGGTCAGAGGGACACACAAGATGGAGGTCAGAGGGACATACAAGATGGAGGTCAGAGGGACACACAAGATGGAGGTCAGAGGGACACACAAGATGGAGGTCAGAGGGACACACAAGATGGAGGTCAGAGGGACACACAAGATGGAGGTCAGCGGGAGAATGAGAAGCTCCAACACCATGTATTTGGCTTAAAACTCAAAATGTGGAGTTAAAAAGAGAGATAAAAGTAATAAATAGAATGAAATAGGGTTAAGAGCTAATTAACCATAAATTATATACTAATTAGCATGGAAAGGCCCAGGTCACACTCACCATGGAGAGGCCCAGGTCACACTCACCATGGAGAGGCCCAGGTCACACTCACCATGGAGAGGCCCAGGTCACACTCACCATGGAGAGGCCCAGGTCACACTCACCATGGAGAGGCCCAGGTCACACTCACCATGGAGAGGCCCAGGTCACACTCACCATGGAAAGGCCCAGGTCACACTCACCATGGAGAGGCCCAGGTCACACTCACCATGGAGAGGCCCAGGTCACACTCACCATGGAGAGGCCCAGGTCACACTCACCACGGAGAGGCCCAGGTCACACTCACCATGGAGAGGCCCAGGACAACCTCACCATGGAGAGGCCCAGGTCACACTCACCATGGAGAGGCCCAGGTCACACTCACCATGGAGAGGCCCAGGTCACACTCACCATGGAGAGGCCCAGGACAACCTCACCATGGAGAGGCCCAGGTCACACTCACCATGGAGAGGCCCAGGTCACACTCACCATGGAGAGGCCCAGGTCACACTCACCATGGAGAGGCCCAGGTCACACTCACCATGGAGAGGCCCAGGTCACACTCACCACGGAGAGGCCCAGGTCACACTCACCATGGAGAGGCCCAGGACAACCTCACCATGGAGAGGCCCAGGTCACACTCACCATGGAGAGGCCCAGGACAACCTCACCACGGAGAGGCCCAGGTCACACTCACCATGGAGAGGCCCAGGACAACCTCACCATGGAGAGGCCCAGGTCACACTCACTATGGAGAGGCCCAGGTCACACTCACCATGGAGAGGC